AAAAAAAAAAAAAAAAGAATCAAATAAAAATAATAAAAATAAATAAATAAATTATATCTAGCATCCCCAAAGTGTAGTCTGCTCTGATGTGTCCATCTCTCCCAATACTGTTATCTACCAAGTGATAGTTAACCTGCCTTGAATCTGCAATACAGACGGAACTTGTTAGTTTGATCCTGACTTCAAAATACCAGTTCGTTTCGCAACAGCATCATTAGTTCCCAATTCGCTTAAAAAATAAAATGAATGTCTACGCGGAGTGTAGTTTCTGAGCAAAAAGCTAGGAAACAATTTTCCAGACAGAGTTTTCAAAAGTCATGCACAAGCTGCAGCAATATGAGGGTTTGCATTCAGGCATAAAACACTAATGGTTGATGAAGCAAATCTAGTCATGAGCTCAAACTTTAAAATCCGAGCATCTGGAAATTTTTAAAACTATAAACGGGGAAAAAGAGGTCTTACACTTACAGAAATCTGGAAAGATTACAGAAGCTCAAGGACAAGGGCCGAAGCACCACCTCCTCCATTGCAAACACCACCGACACCATACTTCCCATTCTTCTGCTTCAACACCTGAGACAACAAGTTTGAGATAGTCGATTAACACGTAAAATCATCATATTAATATATGATCTTCAGGTTACAAAATGGATATTAAAAATATTATAAGAATTTGCAAAACTCCCCACTAAACAGTGGATGATTATGTAATGTAAATCGAAACATACCCCAAGAAGTGTGACCAAGATGCGAGCCCCACTGCAACCGAGAGGATGCCCCAGGGCTACCGCTCCACCATTTACATTCACTTTCTCCTGCAAAATAAACATTTTTTTTTCAAATTATGTTATTTGCCTATCTCAACACCAACAGAATATACAAACTTCACAAAGAAAAATTCTTATTTAATAACATACTGAATAACTTGTCTGCAGAACCAATAAAGGGGGGAAAGGAAAAGGAAAATAACTCGTTATCTTTCAAACTTATACACTCAATTTTGAGATTTGCTTGGGCTTTACAAAATGCACCTTCAAGAATGAAATACTTGTTCAAGGGATGCATTCAAGAAATAAGGTGTCTGTTATTATCTTGTGGGTGTAACAACAATTTCAAAGAATAAAAAGAATTTCCTGTAATTCAGCTAACTGGGGTAATTCCTGTAATTATCCTTAACTAGTATTCGATCCTTTGCAAATATGTAAATAAAGTATTGTGAGTTATTTGTATGCATATAATGATTAATGATTTTTCTTTCACTTTTTGCAGGCCAAATTTACAATTAAAGGGTTGGAATATATATATTTTTGTTTTTTTTAAAATTGCATTTATTAGATATTTAGATTGGATGTAATATATATTTGCTACGCATTTTTTTTGTGAATTATTTCTTATTTATTTAGAAAATTCAAATACGTTTTTTTATTTTTCAAAAATAAAAAAATTTAAATGTAACAACATTAATAACATCTAATCACATTACAATCAACACTTTATATGGTCAAATGTCAGTAATCAAAAGTTTAAAATGATTTTTGTAATTTTGAAGTGATTAGTGTGTTGATTATCTAATAATTAAATGAAAAGTTAAATAAATAAAAAATAACAGTTTTTGGAGGGAAAATGTAAAAGTGTCAATGTAGGTATAATTAAATAGGTTTTATTTAATGCATCTGCCAACAATTATATATACATAGATTTAAGTTGTTCGCTATTCGTCACTTTTCTCATGTAAATCTCCACCCACAGAGCAAAGAGAGATGGAGTTGAGAACTCACTGTACTAAGACCCAACAGCTTCTGATTCGCAAGAGCCACAACCTGCACGAAATTACATTTTCTAGTAAGAACTCAAAACTTTTACCAGGCAGACCTTTTACTTCCTTAATAAAATGAAGGAGCAAAGCAACATACTGCAAAGGCTTCATTAATCTCATAATAGTCTATTTTGGAAGCTTCTAGACCAGCATTTGAGATCGCCTTGGGGATTGCAAGTGATGGGGCAGTTGTGAATAATTCCGGTTCCTGTTCCACATTTTCATATGCATCCATCATGAATTGAAAAGAAGAGTGCAGAAAATGGGACTTCTACAAAATTCACAAACACGCACACACAAGAAAAACAAAAATAATAATAGTCACTTACTTGAGCAGCATCCGCATACCCAGAGATCCTTGCAATGACTTCGAGTCCAAGCTGCAGAGCCTTCTCTCCACTTACTAAAACAAGGGCAGCAGCACCATCGCTGAAAATGATGGTCAAATCCAGTAGTCAACAAACCCTCGAATATTCTTGTAAAATCTAAAGAAGAAACTTGATTCGATTGAGAAAAAGAAAAAGTAAACTAGTATCTACTAAAGAGGTGAAGGAATAGACAACAGACCTTATGATGGACGCGTTTCCAGCTGTGACAGTACCGCCGGTTTCCTTGAAACTCGGTCGCAGCTTCTTCAAGTTCGCAGCATCAAACTGACCAGAAAAAATGATTTGTTAGTGCACAAGAAACTGCAGAGGGTAAATTCAAGATTACCATGTGCATATTTGTCCAGAAACAAACTAGAAGTCTATAAGGTATCATAATAGCCTAATAAGTGGATATAGTGTTTTCTCACTTCTTTTTCCCTGAATTCCAAAATAGATGTTCATGAACTCATGTATATGGGTCTGATTTCTGAAGTGGATGAATTTTGCAAGCATTAAGGCTTCATGTTATAATTTGGACGAAATAAGCTAAACAGCAGAAATCTAGACAGCAAGACAGTAACTAGTTATACACGTAATTGATGAATTCACCTTTCCGAGACCTTCATCTTTATCAACGATAGTGGATGGTCTTCCTCTTCCCCCAGAGACCTCCACCTGCGGGCACAAGATTAGATATTTATAATGCAACTAAAAGAGACAAGCGAAGTTTAGAAGAAAAAAGTCTAGTTATCTTACAGGAACAATCTCCCATGCAAAAGCACCAGCCTCTTGAGCTGCAATTCCACGCTCAAAACTTTGAACTGCATAATCATCCTGTACAGATAAAGCAGCATAAACATGAAAACCACTGGATAGATGCATCTCGGAGTAAAACTGGAACAAAGCCAGAACACAAGGACAAATGGCTTAATAATTTTTCTGAAAACACGGAGCATACACACACCTGTTGCTCTCTTGTTATACTATGGTGTTCAGCACATAACTCAGCACAAACCCCCATGCTAACGTCGCTATAAGCATCCGACAATCCATCTTTTAACATCCCGTCAACAAGAGAATCATGTCCAAGTCGAGAACCTTTTCTGAAATATGCAAGACCCAGTAAATACGCATATAGCACACTAATTATTTCAGATTCAGGTTCACACATAACGACACATTAAAGAACTGAAAACAAAAGAAGTAAACATGATGTGCATAATAAACAAATTACGCAAGGATGTCACTCCCGCTCATCATGATCTTGTTTCCTCTCAAGTAACACACTTGAGAGAATAAGGATACAAAAGAATCACTTCACTCAACAACATAAAAAATAATCAAAGTCTTCACTCAGCTAATAATATTACCTTGCCTCGGCCAGGTACTTTGGGACGTTAGACATGCTTTCCATGCCACCAGCCACAACAACATCATTGATGCCAAGTTGGATACTCTGTGCTGCTAGCATAGTCGCTGTAGGGGCAAAGATATAGTATTTAACACCACAAGTGAAAAGCACCCCTTATTGGGTCATGAGATTCATCTGATAAAAAATCTTGGTAATGCGGTTATATTTAATTACAAGACCAAACCTTTCATTCCAGAGGCACACACTTTGTTGACAGTTGTGCAGACAACCGTATTAGGGATACCCGCGCCTAATGCTGCCTGCCTAGCAGGAGCCTGTCCTAAATTAGCACTAAGTACATTTCCGAAGAAAACTTCTTGAACAAGTGATGGATCGATATTTGCTCTCTTCAAGGCACCTGTAAGTGAGCAGATTGCATACCGTAAATAATAAACAAAATAAATGAAAAGGATAAGACCCCTTCAATTGATAGACAAAACAGTGAGTTAATAATCTTACTCTCAATCGCGATAGATCCAAGCTTGGTTGCAGCTAATGATGAAAGAGAACCAAGCAATCTACCCATTGGTGTTCGGGCAACACCAACAATGCAAACATCTACAGTGATTTAACACATATAAGAGTAGGAAAATGCAGCAGGCACACACGTATATGCACACAATCTATAATCTAAATATGAGTATTGCCAATTCAACCCCCACCACACACACACACAAAAGTGATTCACCTCTTGGCATAATTGAGTCCCCTGCAGCTGCTGCTGGTGCCATGATCTACTTTTGCACAAATTAATACCTGCTAAACTAAATCCCATTAGATTCCAGAGACATAAATTATATATACACAAAGATCCCAGATTTTGATACTGTCAAAAAGGCAACATCATTTGCATGATCCTAAACTTTCTCAAAATCCTTGTCACATTGTTTCAAACCGCTAACATGCCGAGGCAAACACCAATTCAATAATTCGATTCGAGATCTAATTAACCCAAAAGTGCACAGAAACAACAAAAAGAGCTTCTTTTTAGCAACTAATCTGAGTGCTTGAGTAGTACATTTCCCCTTCCCATCATTAACACTCGCTTTCCTCTTGTTTCTTGTATGTAATAAACTCAACCAGTACAGATCCCCGGCATAAAAAGATCACCGATCCAGAAAATCAGACCTAAATAGAACACAGATATCTCCGAAAAAACAACTAATAAGAGCCCATCAATTATTTAGCCTCAAACGCGTAGTTTTCCAACTTTGAGCGAAAAAAATATTTAACTATGAATTTTAGGATTTTGCTGTTTGGGCAAATTGGGATTAGAAGATTAGGAAATAGGGGGACTTACCGTTTTTGGAGACTGGGCAGAGACAGAGAGTCCGTATTTACAGCGCCGGAGAGCGTCTTCACACCGGCGATGGACCGTGGACTGATCACCGGAGGCGTTGTGTTCTTCAAATTTTCGTGCTTTTTTCACACGTTTTATTTTATTTTATTTAAAAAAAAATAAAATTATCGCTCATTCAATCATTCCCTTGAAAACTCACGGGAAAAATACATACATAGCCCCTAGACTAGAAATATCTACATAAATACTATTATAAGGAAACTTAATCAAAAGAGGAATTAGAAGTGATTTTATTTTCAAAAATACGAGATAGTAAATAAATCATGAGATATCTTTGTTCTCTCTCCATTTATTGAAGGTCATCAAGCGAGATTGACGCCAAAAAAAGGGCAAAACACGTTCAACAGAAAAAAAAAAATGAAAAAGAGGGCGATCGTGATTTCCTATAATCCAGGAAATCACGAATTCAAACATCAGAGCAAGGAAGAATCTCGGCGTCAACAGATTAGTGGGTACCAAAAAACACTTGCGAAGGAAAAAAATCGCTTGTTGTTCGTGACCAAATAACGTGAATTAGTCTTGATTCAAAGACGTTTGAAGGTATATTTATGCTTATTTAAGTTTGTTGGTTTTTTTTTTTTGGTTTTTTTTTCTTTTAATTTTCAGATTAGTGGAAACGTAATTGTTGGTTTAATTTTTTTTTCCTTTTTTTTTAATGTTCAGATTTTGGTTTTTTAGATCCTGACGTTTATTATGTTTTTTAACACATACTCCATTATATATTGTTTGTTTCATCGTTTTTTTTTTTTTTTTTTTTTTTTTTTTTTTTTTTTTTTTTTTTTTTTTTTTTTTTGAATTTTTACCTCTAGCGAATCTGTTTATTTTTCAGGAACATGAATGATGTAAATG